AAAGAATAACGAGTATTATTATTATTTGTAGTCTTGTGTTCGTGCCTGTTTTGAAAACTTATTTCAGGATTTTTTTTAAAATCAATTTTACGTCCTTTAGTATTGTATATTTTACTTGAATGTGTTTTTGAAATAAGAGCTAACAAAAAGGAAAAATGTGGGGCCCCTCCAGTGAAACCCAAACAAGCTACTGGGGAGAAAAAAAATTGCGCAACAGCTTTATTAATCTCTCCAATAAATTACGAAAGAAAAAATGAAATTTTAAGATTAAATTAAATTGAATTTTTAATTCTATTAAAAGGCATCTGTTTCAGGGTTACTGTAAATAATAACTTAATTTTTCTATTTCAATTTAAATTCTATTAAAAATTAATAGATAATGTAAAAATAACATTGATTCGTTCTCAGATTAAAATATATCCTAGTCTTAGAAAATATCGAATTTAAAAAATAAACTCACTTGTAATCCGAACTAATTTAAAAAGATACATTTCTTTCTAATGACTATAAATAAGACATTGGATTTTCATTCAATCGATAAAAATAACTCAAGGAAACAAAAAAACTAACTTAGTACATATATTATATTTTCAATCAATAGTAATGGTTTACCGCGAATTGATTAAAAGCCTATATATACATACATATATGGGAGATGATTTTTTTTTAAATGCGGTTTTAAAAAGTCACCGAAGTTTAAGTTAATCTTTTGTTTATGCGCAATCGTCAGGTATCTGAACTTGGAGCTCTTGAGGCTGTGGATAGTCAAGGTCGAAAAAAAAACGCCGTGTCTGACCATGAGCTTCTTAACCTACTCAAAGGAAGGTTGTACAATTCTTCCAACGGGAAAGTACATTGCGTGTTGTTAAAGGATGAAAATCAACTAACAGTCAACCATACAATTTTCTTATCTTCCTCTCGCACAGTGAAAAACAAAATGATTTCATTGACTTATTTTATTCCCCGCAAAACATATATCATGTCTACTTTATTGGATAATAAGCACGATACTTTACCAATCAAACATAGGAGTTTTGAAATTATCAAAGAGGCGAATTTTTTTTTTAATTTTTCATTAAAAACGATTAATGCCTATTTAGCAGAATTGTTATTTAATAAAATTTCTACTCAGCGAATTTTTAAATACATTTCCATATTTCAATAATCATCCAACGGGTGAATTTGTCACGATGACTGTTATATTATATGTTTATTGTTGAAGTTATATAAAGATTACCCTTGTTTACAGAATCGTAATAATTTCATAACAGCGTAAAAATTGACACACACCGGAATCGAGAACAAAAGTCAATTGTGAAAACAACCAATTTCGATAAATTCATATGTTATGATCCATAACTTATACCCCTTTTTCCCCACAACACGTTTCCGATTTAATCTTTACAGTTATTGGGTCAGAAAGTTGTAAAGGTCAACTGAAATAAGAAGAAGTACTTTCATATAATACGTGTCTATAAGCGTTTTTTTTTCTCGAAAAAAAAAGGAAATTGCTTTTCCTGTCTTTCAATGAAAACTAGGTTATCTGTAAAACCGTTTAATCGCTAATTGTGAACAATTGTGGGCTTCATAAAAAAAAAAAGCAAAAACTTTGAATTTTACTAAAATGTTAAATTGCTACACTGAAAGACATTTTATTTCAAAAATTAATGTAAATGTATTTCGAAGTAGGAAAAACTGTTTTTATACTATTTAGTCATATGAAACTTACTCGTTTCTAACAGAATAATACCAAAAATTAATATTTATTTTCAGTATTTTTTGGCCAGACACTAGTACGTTTTATAAGACTAGAACAAAAAACAGTTTTCCCTATTTTGAAATACATTATATTAATTTTTTTAAATGAAGTTTTTCACTGAAACTTTTCACATTTATAAAATTATAGATCTAATATATAAGCGATATAAAATTGGTAAAATTTGTTTGCGTTGATTTTAAAATATTTATATTCAGTGACGATTTTTGAAAATTTAAAATTAGAAGTGCGAAAACAAGTCTTAAGTTTCTGAATTCAAATTCAATTTAAAAAAAAACATGTTCCAAATTGGATATCAAGATCAGTTGGAGTAAAAAAAAAATATTTATCCTTTTAATAGTTACTCTAAATGTTATTTTAATACAATAACAATCGTATCCTTTTATAATAAGGTCTAACGCATAACGCATAACGCATAACGCATTTACGTGATAATCGTTAAATTTCAAAAAATCCTTTTCCAGGAAAACATTCTTTCAAAAAAAAATTATTTTTCACTTATTTCTAAGTTAGTTTCCAGTTAGTTTCCTGTTAGTTTCCTGTTAGTATGTTTTGAGAAAAGTATTTTTTACTTTAAAAAAATGTAGTCAATGAAATAAATGAGTAAGAAATTATTGAGTTAGTTTTTCAAATAATTTTCCTTTTCCAGGAAAACATTCTTTCGAAAAAAAATTATTTTTCACTTATTTCTAAGTTAGTTTCCAGTTAGTATGATATGAGAAAAGTATTTTTTACTAAAAGAAAATTGTAGTCAATGAAATAAATGAAAAAGAAATTATTGAGTTAGTATCTATAATTTTTTTCCTTTTCCAGGAAAACATTCTTTCAAAAAAAAATTATTTTTCACTTATTTCTAAGTTAGTTTCCAGTTAGTTTCCTGTTAGTTTCCTGTTAGTATGTTTTGAGAAAAGTATTTTTTACTTTAAAAAAATGTAGTCAATGAAATAAATGAGTAAGAAATTATTGAGTTAGTTTTTCAAATAATTTTCCTTTTCCAGGAAAACATTCTTTCGAAAAAAAATTATTTTTCACTTATTTTACTTATTAGTTAGTTTCAAGTTAGTATGATTTGAAAAAAGTATTTTTTTCTTTTAAAAAATAGTAGTCAATCCTATCCTATTATAAAAAGGTGATACCAAAGCGTAGTGCGTTATGCTGTTTAGTAAATCTGATAGAATCAATTAGTAAAATGGAGTATTAATATAAAATGTCATATAAAACATCATTATACTACTGTTTTAATAACACATAACAATTTAATGTTTAAAAAACAATGCTTAACGCGCGAAAGCGCACGATGGTCTAGTATATATATAGAACAGCATTTCTTGACAATATAAATAACGTAGGCGTTTACGTGAGTGATTTTCGTGACTTGAGAACATTTCTCGTGCGGTCAAGTTGCGTTTATATCTACACGCACGTATGTTATTACACTCTCGTAATTCTGGAAACTAGTATTCGTATATATATATATATAGTATATTATGTCGTGGCGGCGCAAAGTCGTGTCGTGTTGAGCTTGGATCGATACATTTTCATCCCTCTGGTCCATATAGCGTGGGTGTTTCAATGTATATGTATATATAGATACACATATACCATTACCATGCGTTGGTGGGTCGTTCCACTCGAACAAGTTGAAAGTGGCAAAAAAGGAGTACCTTTTGCGCATCTGCTGCCCCCGCAAAAGCTTCTGCTATATATATATATATTTTTTTTTTCATTTTCCGGAGCAGGAAAGTAAAGATATTGTCGATAGTTAGTTCATTCAGAAACGCCCCCGCAAAACTAATGAGCGTCTCGACTGACGTCATTCCAACAGCTACTGTTGCTGAATCGTTCGACACACGCTGTGATGTGATACCGAGCAGCGGCTCAACGACTACTCGACACGGCGCAGCGTCTGCGTATATATCTAGATATCTAGGACGTCACGAATGCAGAAGTCCTTGTATCACCTTTTTCTGAATCAATTCCAACCTGTTGTTACTTGTTAGTTACTTCATTTAAAAGAATAATTATTTTTTTCTATTCATTCTGCGCTATTGCTTTTTCAATTATATTTACCACAAAGATGGTCCAGAGCCAAAAAAAAGAGAAAACTATGTCCTTCCTTCCATCGTCAAAGTATCAAAGAAATTAAATTCTGATGAATTTTTTGTTTCAACTTAAAAATTTTCTTTCAAAACTATTTATATTCTCAAATTATGCAATTTTTTACAGAAAACTCAATTAGATTGAAAAAAAAACGCATACATCTTTTTTCACTATACCAGGATTATCTTGTAATTGATATTTTTTCAAATATTTGTTTTTCATTCACATCGAAATAACGAACACTTTTTTTTGTCAAGGGAATTAAAAAATACAAGAAGAATATATATTTTTCTATTTTCAACAAGTGATGTTACAATCGACCTTCTCTTTTTAAAATTAGACGTAATAAAAGTGAGGCTATAGGGTAATGAAATATCAAACGAGAAATAAACCTTGTGAAACAGACTAAATAACCATTAATACCTCTTGTTATACTTCGCAGAAAAAAAAGTACACCAAAAATTAGAAACTATTAAAAAAAAAAATTCGTTCAAAGTTGTTTAAAATACTTTCCGCAACAAATATTAGGAAATGTGTAAAAAATTCATTGGGAAAATAAAATAGAGAAGGGATAATTACAGCCAGTCTGTATTTTTATTCAGTGGAATGTGGTTTCCAGACGTTGTCAGAGCAACAATTTACAAAGTAGAAAATCCACTGATTTATTTAGACGTATATTCCGCAAAAGCTTTTGATCTCTTTCGTCAGTAGTCGATTATTACTTAAAAGCAATTGATTTTTTTTTTTTTTTTCATTTTCCCCTCCCTCTCGTTTATATTTGATCAATCGTATGATCACTCTTAGCTATAAGCTACCTTTCACCGATCACCTCAATTTGCTTCTCTTTCGTTCAGTAAAATTTCCTTAACTCTCCATTTTTGGAAAGGCAGAAAATTCGAAAACTATTTTTAAGATTTCAAAAAACTTTATTTACTCTCCATGCCGCATGTGCATAAAAAGAATTTTATGGAATCTTAAAAAAAACAAACTTTCTGCCTATCGAAAAGTGGAGAGTTAAGAAAATATTGAACTTATTTTTCTTCGCGTATCAGTTTTATTAGATAAATTATAGATTATTTAATTATTAATACCCTAAATAATTAATTTTTTATTTCTGTTACAGTATTTTATCACAAAGTTCGGCGAGGAATACCAAGCCGCTATGGAGTCTCACTGCCAAGCGAATGGCAGCATTAGAAACATCTCGGACGAGGACGGCAACTACGACTATCCGGATGATGTAAATAGTGATGATATTGAGGACAATGAGAGCAGTCTTAATAATAACAATAACAACAACAATAACAACAACAATAAGACGAATCAAAAGAATAATAGCGAGTGCGCTGACCCACAGCAGAGGCTCGCTGTCCTGAGCTTTGAGCAGGTTCGTCGGCTAAATGATGTGATGAATGAGGTCGTGTGTATTCACGGAAGGGGGAATTTCCCGACCCTGGAGGTGCGTTTACGTGATCTCGTGACTGTTGTACGTAGCAAATTGGAGGAGAATCCAAGTAACGGTGGAGCGGGTATGAAGGTGCGCGACATCCGGTTGAATGGCGGAGCAGCCTCGCACGTCCTCGCGACCGAATCGCAGCCCTACAACGATTTAGATCTCATCTTCGCGGTAGAGCTGTCGAGCGGCCGTAATTACGATAAAGTCAAGACGGCAGTGCTTTGTTCCTTGTTCGACCTGTTGCCGGAAGGCGTTAGCCGAAAACGCATCACTACCTGCAGTTTAAAGGAAGCCTATGTCAGTAAAATGGTCAAGGTTAATAATGAAGGTGATCGATGGTCACTTATTTCTCTTGGCAATAATCGAGGTCATCGAAATGTTGAACTCAAATTTGTTGACTCGATGAGACGGCAATTTGAATTCTCCGTTGATTCTTTTCAAATTGTTCTTGATTCCCTGCTTCTATTTTACGAGTGCAGCAGGCTACCAATTGGAGAGAATTTTTATCCAACTGTAGTCGGCGAATCCGTCTATGGTGACTTCCAAGAGGCCCTCTATCATTTGCACAAGAAGCTCATTTCCACCAGGCATCCAGAGGAAATTCGAGGTGGCGGCCTCCTCAAGTACTGCAATCTCCTCGTTAAGATGTATAAACCCTCCCAGCCGGACTATATCAAGACCCTTGAACGGTACATGTGTTCCCGGTTCTTCATAGACTTTCCCGACATTAGCCAGCAAAAGGCAAAACTCGAAAACTACCTTTGGAATCACTTTGTTGGACCTGAGGAGGAGGCTCTTAAGTACCAGTATTTGATGTTGCTGCACAATGTTGTTGAGGAGTCAACCGTTTGCCTCATGGGACATGAACGACGACAAACACTCGCTCTAATTGAGAATCTTGCTTATCAAGTACTCTGTGAGGAACAACAACGGCTCTCCAGTCAACAACCAACCACAGGACCTCCTGCCTATGTCTACGCTAATGGATACTATTACACACCAGTGATACCCACTGCGTGTTACACTTGCACCTGTAATTCGTGGATGGCCTGCTCGTCGTGATCCCAAGTTCTCTTGAGTGAAGCGTGAAGATTCAGCAGACAAAGCGGGCAAAGGTGATCATCGAAATCAGTTGACTCTCGTGACGACTCATCTCAACACACTTTATAATTATTATAATTATTATTATTATTATTACTATTATTATTATCATCTCTAGCTACACCTACTAGTTTCTCGTAGTTAACGAAAACAGCGATAGAAACGGGACCGTATTTTAACAACTGCGTAAATTTTTTAGTGGTTCTCGGTTGTGATGACGAACGACCCTTTTTGAAAGATGTATTTATCATATTAAATCAATCAGTGCTGTGTGCAGTCCCAAGTGTCGTGTCAAAGTCAACGTATTGCGTTCTTAGGCCCTGTGGAAGCAGATTATTTCCTCAATTTGGTATGTTTGCTCTTTCTGAGCTCGGGACGTTCTTTTCTTTCTTAAAAAAAAACCAGCCATCTTCTTACAACTAAATTTTTAATTTGCCTCAATTTTTATCGATTGTACACAAAAAAAAAATTTCGTCTAATCCAAAGTTAGAATTGTCTCATTGGCTTTTTTTAGTAAACGTAATATTTCTTCAATTCATGTCAATTGATTTTATTTCTATCAAGAATTACTTTTTATTCGTTAAAGTAAATCATAAAAATAATTAATTAATGGAAAAATATTTTTCCAAATATTAAAAAATACAAAAAATTTGTCTGTTTTAATCAACATTGTATAAAATTAAAATGAAAACAAAAATAAACCAATGAAACATTAATAAACCTTCGACTTCTTCGGTTCAATGATAGATCCAATTATTGAGAATATACATTCATCGTTTTAAAAAAAAAACACATCATGAAAATTCGAGTCTGTTAATGAATAACTGTTTCCACAATTATGGAACGTCTATTTTATATACTCATGGTCAAGGAAGATAAGATAATTGTAATTGTTGGCAGAATATAATAAATTTTGATAATTGTCCCGGTTCGCTGTTAAAATACTCGTTCTGATTTCGAGACACTAGACACTTTTTTTTGGAGAAGAGGCGTTTTCTATACATATACATAAATAAAAAAAAAAAATATATATATATATACATAGATATTTAAAGAAAATTCTACATACAAATATACATGCATATTATTCTATAAATGAATTATTAATTAATGTGTGGCTGTGATCACATTTCATTTAGTTTCTACGTTGTAAGATCGTTGGCATAAAAGTGGGAAAAAAATAAAAAAAAAAAAATAAATATATTATATATTATATTAATATGTGAGATACCAAATCGACGTCTCGAGCTCGAATTACAACAGTTTCATTAACACAGCCTGAAAATTCGTAGGCGACAAAAAAATCAGCCATATAAAGTTTCACGAATACTTTTATTTATTTTTTAAAAAAAAATCCTGGTCCATTGATAAGGATACTTTTTAAATTCAATTTTTTAACTGGCATTTTTCTATTCTATAAAAAGATAGTTAATCTTGATAAACTAATTTCAAACAGAAAAAATGTAAATATTACCATTTTGAGAAAATATCTTCTTGAAATTAGAAGAAAAATTAATTACCTTTTTTGTAAGCTTTGTAAATAAACTGTTACAGTAAAAAATATAATTATTTAATAAATTTAGAAAATAAAAAAAGGAATTATTCCTTTTTAATTGGATGCGATGTTTTTTTTTCTACAAATATATAAACTAAATCCCATAAATTTAAGAAAAGATTTATTTATAAAAACTAACCATTCATTTAGGCTATAACCAAAATTAGTGGAATAAGAATGTCTTAAAAAATTTTCTAATGTATCACGAATTTTCTTTAAAGAAAATTCTTTTCAATAAGTATACATTTTTTATAAACGAATTTATATCTCAGTAGACAATATTTTGCATTCCATTTACCTCGAGCCCTAAAATAAAAATTTTCCGTCACGCACACAACCGTCCGTATGTTAAAAAGAAATCGAACTTTGTGATATTTTTTTAAAAATTCATTGAAAATTTTTTAAGCGTGAAAAAATAGAGACTAAAACGATCTTATTAAAATATAGATAAATATGCATATTTACATAATATGCAATTTTTTAAGTAATATTTTGGAAATATTTTATAATATTAATTTAAATAATTTATTTCCTCACTTTTTAAACTTAAGGCAATGATTTTTAATCGATATTAATTTGAGAAGATCGTTTTAGACTCTGAATAAAAAAAAAACAATAAAATAATACGTTTGAAAATCAAATTTAATTGTCTGAATAATTTATGATTTTACTAAGGGGGAATTTGTATTGAGTGGCTAAAACCCAGATATCTAAGGGGCTTGGGGTCGATTCTCGTGAAAAGCAGCAGCCAATTTCTCGATTAAATTTAACTCCTTTTAATTTCAATCAATCAAGTTGAGTCCATCAAGTGGCATTCTCTTGTAAATTTAAGATTCGTTTCATTTAAACATTTCCAAAGCTTAAGGAGCACTGTACATGAAAATCTTTTATTATATTCTTCAGTGGTTAATTTTCAACTCATTCTTTTTAAGGTTATTAAAAATTATGACTACAAATATCAAAAATTCTAAATTCTAAAAAAATTATCAAAATGATTGGGGATTTTTTTTATTCTCTTTTCTTTTGGGGTGCGTCTTTACTGTAACAGTTAGAAAAATTATTAAATAAGAAAAGGGGAACTGTGTGAAACGATCTCGACTCTTTCGCATCGATATTGTCTGGTGACCCCGTTAATATATATACATTATATACATAGGTTTTTCGCTCGCTAAAACGCTCACTCACACCCACTTGCACCCACACATACATAAGCCTAGTTCAGCGTTTGACTCTCGCTGATTCGCTACTCGTTTGCTCACTCTTCCTTTCGGACGCAAGCGAAAGTAACATCGAAATAAAAACTTTGCAAACTGGTTTTTCAGGTATCGCACTAATGCTAAGGAGGTAGTCGACAGTGATTGTCGCTCTATTCCTCTATTCCTGTCCCTTTTAACATTTTTGTCCCTTTCAATTCACATACAAGAACACACTCGAGGTCATTAATCGATAAAAATTTCCAATCTTTATTTTTATATTCATATTTAAAAAAATTTAATTTCATTTAAAACATTAATATATTTAATTCTAAATGTTATTTTAAAATTGAAATATTAAAAAAAAATTCAAACATTTATTTTTGGAAAAAAAATCAAAAATTTCTGATGATTTATGAAAAACTAGAAATATTTAATCTTATCGAAAGCCAGATAGAGCAGTTCCATTGAACATTTAATTTTGCTACAATTTTCAGTCTATCTGTGGCAAACAACACATTACGCGACCTGACGTAATAAAACTTTAGATAAGAATAAAATAATGTGTCATGTACGTGAGAGTAAATTTTTTTTTTTTTTGCAATAATTCATAAACCTCTATTCTAAAGTAATGTCAAACAAAAAATTTTCAAAGAAAAAATAGAATTTATAAAATAGATAAAAATGTTTATCTTATAATTTTGTTTTCTTGATTAAAAAAATAATTTACTTTTGAAAACAAATTTATTGTATATGTTCTATATCTCATCGATTTTGTTGAAGGTAAATTTAATTAAGAACACTTTTCTTCTTGCTAATTTAAACTTCAAGTCTAAATGTCGACCTATTCTAATAATAGGTTTCTTATTGTTGGTCTTTTTTTTATCTCGAATGTTTGTTCCACGTTTAAACTTAAAAAAACTTTTGTTTTTTTTTTGTTTTATATGTGATCGCAAAACAAAAGGGAATCTCGCGCCATTTGAAATTTTTCTGGCGAACTTCCAGAGAAAAACAAAGACAAAAATTTTCACTCTTTAATAGATGACACTAAGTCTACGAAATTTTACCTCTAAAACTAAAATTACATTCTTTTTCTAAAGTGTAAGATATTTAGAAGAACAAAAAAAATTTTATTTCGCATAAACATCTCTAATAAAATTTTATGTATAAATCTATTTTCTATATAATTTTGCAATCATCAATATTTATGAGTGTATTTTAAAAAAATGTAATTTCATGTTCCCCCCCCCCACCAATATAAATCTCTGAAATATTTTCTAACCGCTTTTCTTCCGTGTGATTATTTATTATTCACGCATTCCAGTGGAACGTTTTTTTTTTATTCCTATCCAAAGCTCATGTAAATTTTATTCAAATGTCATGTTGAATCCATAGCTTGAGCGAAATTATTAAGTCATTTATCAAATAATTTTGCATTGGACTTTTAATTTATTCCTCTTTCGTAATATTTAAATAAACTTGCTATTATCGAATTTAAATTAACTTGTTCAATAAGAACATATAAAATTAATTTATTAACTTTTTATAATCATAGAAAAGAAAATATTTTCTTTGTATTCGCTTTTTATTAAAAAAAATTTGTTGAATAAAAAAAAACATAATTTTCGTTAATGAAAAATTATTTTGAATTTAAAATTTTGAAATAAAAAAAATTTCTATGAATATTACTAAAATCTAAATTAATTAAATTTCTTATCATGTGAAATTCAGAGCTCGTGCGGGAAGTAATATATTGGTTATTATGTAAATAATAAGTCGAATCAATCAGAATTTCTTCCTGTTTCGCTCTTTTCTTTAACGTGTGCGTCATATAAGTAATGATATTCCGTGAAAGTGCATCGTGACCCAAAGGTGCATTGACCGATGAATAATTTCGCGTTTCTCCCTTACGAAAAAAAAAAGAAAAAATATTTATACAAAACCCTTAGAAAATTGTTATTAATAATTATACAAAAAAAAATTGCCCACTGAAGAAAATAAATAATTTTAAAAACATCTTATATCAAAATGAATTCTAATTTTATTATAAAAAAATAATTCTATTTTTCAATTATTGGGGATTTTATGAATGTTGTCGTTTTTTTTTTTTTTTTTGTCTATTGTGAGAATTTTTTTTTTTCTAGAAAAAAATACCTATTTCTAAAGATGCTGTTCTAAGGAATTTTTTATCGACATCTTTTTTTGAGTGCTTCAAATCATCTCTCGTCACACAATATAAGATCGAGTTATTTTTACTTTTATCGATTATGCTTTCAATGCTATATTTCATTTAATATTGAAAAATTGCTGCTGATTTTCACGCTATAAGAACGCTTTTAATATGCTTGGAAAAGTAAACCTAGATTTCTTATCACAAGTAAAAGTAGTAATTATAGATAAAGAGTGTTCTAAAGTAGAAAAGAATCGTTTTATAAGAAAAAAAAAAAAAAAATTACGAAAATCAAATAAAATATCTCTAGCCCATGAAATAATAAATATCAATTTTTGCCAAAAATCTTGCACGCTAATTATTTCTATAATTTTACATAAAAATCTAATGTTCATAAAAATAATTGTCATTAAAATGTAAAATATTTTTTTTTACAATATATCATTATTAGCATCAGCAAAATTTTTGCCAAAAAATACTTTCGAGTACAACTTTTAAAAAATTATATGGGCTTTAGATTGTACACTGGAAAAAAAATAGTATTGAATCAAGAAAACCCTTTTACTTGTCCGTATTTGATTCAATATTTTCTTGATCCAAGAAAATTTTACTAATTTGAAGTAAATTTTCTTGAATTAAGAAAATTAGTTGATCAAATACGGAGAAGTAAATGATTTTATTTAATCAATGATACATACTTTTTTTCAGTGTAGAAAAAAAATACACTTAAATAAAGTATCAATGCACTTTTTGTCAGTTATATGAAATTTTTTTTCGCGACCTACGATATTCAGGCTGTGAAAATGTCCGGGGAAGCGAAACAATGTCGTTTAGGAAGTCTACTGATTTTTTTTTTTTTTGCTAGTTTTTAGTGGATATTGTACAATTAACGATGCGTATGTATAATTATATTATAAATCGAGATGTGTAAATGAAGTTGCGCACTGATTTGACACTCTTGAGTGTCATTATTATTATTATTATTATTATTATTATTATTATTATAAATATATTACACTCACACACAAGCGCGCGCGTGCCAATATTACATTGCAAAAAAAAGTTGTATGAAATTGCGATTAAAAAAAAGTAATGTATAAATACAATTATACTGCAAAGCTGTGAATATTTTCTTCTTTTGCAATAAAAAAAAAAAAAATCATTATTAAAAGCAAAGATCAAACTTTTTTTACTCGTCTTATCGTTCAAACAATTTTCTACCGTGCGAGCGCCCTTGCGTGAAACAATAAAGACTAAATATCATTTTCGATTATACATACATACATATATATGTGTATATATATAGCCGGTCTCAGGAATCTGATTGTGACGATTGTAAAAAAAAAAAAAAAAAAAAAATGTAGGTAAGTCGCTATATACAGCAAAATAGAAAATAAAAGTTTATTCCGAAAATATGCGTTTTTAATAATGGCTTGATTAGAATGAAATTTTAATTATTCTTGTAAATAAAAAAATGTTCTGTGTTTTGTAATAAAACTAAAACATGAACCTTTTTATAAATATTTTAAACGAAAATATGAAAGTACATATTTACCATATAAGTACAAATTTATTTTATTAACTACTTTCGAACTTTTAATATTGATTAAACAAAAAATTAATATTTATATATATATATATATAAAAAAAATGTCATTCTACTCAAACCATTGTACCCGGAAAACAATAAACACGGCACTTGAATGTAAATTTTTCAGAGAGACAATCTACAGCAGCGCATTCTCGAGACATTTTTAAAATTATAATTGAGCTAATGTATTACGCATGCGTACATAATATCAATTATAGCCATTGCGCATGCGTAATGCTTGAAATGTTCAATAAATTTAAAGAATGCGCGCAAGATTTGTGTTTATCCTAAATAATGCATTTCTCTTATACATAATATACGTGTCCATAATAATAATAATAATCGTTGGTATTTAAAATAATCATTAGAAAACCGTTTATGGAACGGAGAGAAGAGATTTTACTTTAATGAAAGTACATTTTTGTACTCACTAAAAAAGTAGTGAGATTCACTATAATGTCAAAATGTACTAAACGAATTGTTTGTTAAAAAGCCGATAGATGGAACTACTATCGGTAAATTTTATTACTAAACAAAAAAAAAATATTTTTATTCAGTATACGCTCTTCTCTCCGTGAAATTTAGAAAAAATCCTATACTATATCGATTAACTTAATGGGTCTTTATACAATCAAACCTCGCACAGTAACGAATTGCTGTAATTTTCCCATTATGAACTTTGCAAACAGGCGAATTATAGTAAAAGAAAAAATTATTTAAACTTATATAAATTATTAAAAGAAATATTGTTTAAGCTATTTGGATACACAACAATTATTGTTTTTTTGTTACTGATTGTTATAATATTTACATTATTAAAGTGTGAAATGATTTAAACACTAAAGTCGTTAAAATTTTGTTATTGTAAAATATGATCAGCGAATTAAATTTTCACTTTAGTTTAAACTACTTTTTAAATTTCCATAAACTTGTGAAAAGTACAGAAGCTTCAGTCAACAAATTTTTTCTCTGAAGTTCTTCTTCATTTTCAAAAAGTTCCCTACTTAAAGAAAAACTCGTTAATTTGAGAATTCGTCATTGTGCGAGGTTTAACAGTATTTAAAAAAAAGCAACTGGTAATGGGATATTGATATTACTGAAATAGATATAATAATATTTTAAATAGCAAAAAAATTTTAATTGCAATAAAAATTTTACAATTAATATTTAAAATTTATTGCAATCAATATTTTTTAATTTAATGAAATATTTAAAAATCTATTTACAGTATAGGGAAAAATGTCGATATCCCGTGGATGATTGTAATATGAAAAATTAATGTACAAAAGTATATATATAAGCAAAATTAAGAAACACAAACACACAACACGATTAACATTGTCATGATTAAGACACTCATACACCGTACGCTATCTGCGCGGGTTCATTAAGAATATCTAATTTAAAAAAAAATGATTGGCAATATTTCCAAAAATTCATCAACTGAATTCAAATATTAAAATAACAAGAATTTAATAAAAATGATCTATTAAAATATTACAAATGCAGTGAAAATGTCGCTTTGTTCGAATGACCCATATTTCTTAAATTTTAAATAATAAACATGTCGAAATTTTCACTGAATAAAATTATTATTACTCTCCAAGGGAATCATATAAATATATATATGTAAATCACGGTAAAGCCACAAGGAGAATTGAGAAAGACGAGAAAAAAATTGAATTTAAAAAAAAAGAAAAAATGAAACATATGTAATGGTGAATGAAAGAAAGAAAATTTCACGAAATTATCATTATTCCGACATTTCGGCAAAGGTTAAACTACATTTTATGTGATATAATTTTAATTGACTTGTGATATAAACGATGTGATCTCTTCTTTCCTAAATCTGAAAACAAAGAAAGTCACGCATATCAAGATAGTTTTGAGTGCCGAAATACTTGCTTTTATATGAGTTGCCAAAAATATGGATCTCCAATATAATTTGCACAGAAACAATTCTATTGTACTTCGAGATTAACTTTATGGCATTTAAAATATAAAAATTCAAATAATAAGTCCAAAAAAAAAAATTTATTTTGGCACCTTTTTTTTACAGTGAATTCAATATAGAAATGGATTTTTTTTTGTATATTAAACGATGTGTAGGTTTTCAGAAAAAGAATAATGAAGACATTACTTTTTTTCCAGCACGTAACAGAGTGATCAAAAACGTGTGAGAGTACTTATTTTAAAAAAAAAAAATAATTTGTTTATATTGTTAGAGTGTGACACTCCAACTCTTAACACATTTAAAGTATGTACCTAAGAAGTGGGATCAGAGTAGAAAAAGCGACTTTGATATATATATATAATATATATGTAGAATATTTGCTTCTCGATTCTAAATTCAAGACTGTCACTAAAATTTAAGGCAATGAACCAATAAAGTAACTCCGAAATTTTCAAAACATTTCCTAAAAAAAAACACCTTTCTAAAATTGAAAAAAAATTTCTTTATTGTAAAGAAATCATTTTGGAGCTACTTGGACAAATAATATATATATTTAATGTCGATGAAACGAAAAGACTAATAAATTTTGATTGAAAATATGTATAAATTAATCGTTTCATTGGCAATAATAAAATACCATATTTCTTCTTTATTACACGAATTTTAAAGTAAATGAATAGAGATAGAGAAGAAGTAGATTGTGTTTAATCGCTAGATTAATTGTCCATGGAATAATTTCCTAAATATTTTGTTTTATTTCTATTTTAAAATTCACACCAATGACTCTCCTAAAGTATTCCAGTTTTTTCCCTCTTCTTTTTAACTGTTTTTTTTTAGTAATTATTTTTTGTACGGAAGAATAAATCCAAGCATTTTTAGAAACTGGAAAACGCAATTGTCATCGCTCTCAATAGAAAAAATATATATATGCATATATAGTAGTGTTGTTGGGGGAGAATTGGAATTCGCGCCTGAAATGTCACGGACGCGCGTCACACACAGTTACTGTAATTATTATTCTGTACCTCACATATCGGGAAAAAAAAATAGAGATACATTGGCCAAAGCGACGCACGCGCACGGAAATTAAAGTAATTAAAATAAAACTTAATTAAATTAAAGTAAATTACACCATTTATTAATTGCAGATGAATCTATAAGGATAATCATTATTATTATTATTATTATCGTAATGCTACTGTTTAAACTTAACATTATCCACGTTTGTATATTAAGAAGAAAAACAGAAAAAAAGATAGTGTGTGTGTGTGTGTGTGTGTGTGTATTCGAGAGAGACATTTAGAGTGAAACAGAGAAAATGTTGTGACGTATATATACATGTCACAAAAAACGTTGTCAAGAGAAAAAAAGGATCACCGGGCGACAATTTGATTTTTTTAATTTTTTGACTTGCCCGTGGATAGATATTTATATATACAATATATATGTATACGTATGAATATATGTATATATGTATATTCATTTATATACGTATATGCATATATTGTTGTATGTAAAAGAAACATTATAAGATTCAAATATGAATAAAATGTGAAAAATAAATATCACTGTAAATGCCGATACTCAAAAATATTTTACTTCTCTTGCTTCCTGATATCCTTCCTTAAATATCCCTTCTCTTCTATCGAGAAAAAAAAAGTATTGAAATGTTAATGTATAGAGATAGAAACTTATTGTAATTTTCTAAATAAATGTGTGGTTTTATTAAATTATCGGCTAGATTCAGTCTTTCATAGATTAAAGAGAAATATAATATGTATAACGTTTATGTATTGAACTTTATATTATTAATAAATGTATTTGATATAAGGATTGAGAAATTGCTCTTATTTCCTGTTATATCAGATTTTATTATTTTTATCACTATTTTATGCAAGACGGATATGTTTTAAAATGATTTTTATTTTCATAACAGTAAAACAATTGCAAACAGAAAATTTCTGCTTACTATTTAATCAAGGTAATCTTTTTTTTCTACGAATAAATTTTTTAAACGCTTTTACTTGCAATGTTTGGGGTTAAGCAACCTAAATCTATGTCAGTACTTGAATGGGTAAAACGGCACCCTAAGTATTTCATTCTAGTTATGATACGTATATATCAATTAAAATTAAGTTTAAAAAATAAAATAAACTCCAAACTAAAAGAAAATTACATTTTTTTTAAGTAATGTAACATTAAATTTTATAAAATTGTTACTATTTTATAAAAAAAAAAAATATTTGTCTATATAAATGACCGCTTCATTGAGGATATTTTTTCTCTACTTTTGAGGGGGAAACATTATTTGTTCTGGTTCACCTTATTCAATTCCATGAAGATAGGACCAGGACCCGAGAATGTTTCAAGGACACTTTCAGACATCCAATATGTTTACTGATTTTTATGCGATATCTAGAAAGGATTTTCAAACACAAGGTTGTCTCAATTCGAAAGGAATATAATAACAGAGAAACAGGATTTTGCTACGAAAACTACCAGACAAGTATCAGGTAAAAAACCACACAATTTTTTTAAACCCAATCTCAATTCTTGATTTAAAAATTTGATTTAATCAATAGTGAAGCAATAATGAAATATATCACGGTAAACATTCAGTGATAATAATGACGATTATTGAAATAATTGGACATTTAAAATTTTTTTTAATTTATGAAATTTTAATTTTTTTTTTACTTTACGAAATATAGATATATTGAGTTTTGAAAAATCTTTAATAGCCTTAAAATTTAGAAAATTTAACAGTCTACTATTTTGACAAGTCTACTGTGGGACACGACAATTGAAAAGTTGGATCGAAGAACCAACTGTTGACTCGGGCTGCACACGTTCATAACAGATGCGTATTGTCCGAAGCCAAAGGCGCGAATTTCTACCCGTCTGATATGAGCGTGTGCGGTCAGAGCGAACAGTCAGATTTTGGATTCAGCTCCTCAAGTATAAGACTGGAAAAAATTTCAGTAAACATCAACATATACAAAAATTTACGCAACTAACAGATTTTATATAATTTGGGAACTAACTGACTAAAAAAGTAACTAATCCCGATAACATCAAAAAAAATTTCGAGGATTTTTCCTCAATTCATGCGTTTTATTTACGGGGTAAATAAATAAATAGTTTAAGACTTTGTTTTTAAAGCGTAATCAATTTTTTATAACTAGAGGAACTAAGCAACTAATACCGGTCGCTTCTACATTATTTTCGAACTTTAAAATAAGAAGTGACGAGGATATTTAAAAGCTAATAAGTTTTAAAAAATTTACAATCTAACAATTTAGATAATAATTATTAGAGACTAAATATTTTCTCTACCCATTAGCATAATCAAAAATATTGCACAAGAACACAATAAAAAAGAAGTCTTTATAATAACCGATCTTTGAAGCGAATTTTAAGTTATGAACCATGAAGCGTGTCTGTTCAACAAGTTAAAGACAAATTTATCCATTATTCATGAGTTAAATTTACGGGGTAAATGGTTTAGAATTTTCTTTTGTCTAATGAAAAAGCGAGTATACAGAGGGACTTGATAATTATAAGAGACTAAATATTTTCTCTACCCATCAGCATTATCAAAAATTTACGCAACTAACAGGTTTTACATAATTTGGGAATTAACTGACTAAAATAAGTAACTAATCCCGATAACATCAAAAAAATTTCGAGCTGTTAAAAAAAACGCAACTAACAGGTTTTACATAATATGGGAACTAACTGACTAAATGAGTAACTAATCCCGATAACATCAAAAAAATTTTCGAGCTGTTAAAAAAAACGCAACTAACAGGTTTTACATAATTTGGGAACTAACTGACTAAATGAGTAACTAATCCCGATAACATCAAGATAATTTTCGAACTGTTAAAAAAAACTAACAGGTTTTACATAATTTGGGAATTAACTGACTAAATGAGTAACTAATCCCGATAACATCAAGATAATTTTCGAACTATTAAAAAAAACTAACAGGTTTTACATAATTTGGGAACTAACTGACTAAATGAGTAACTAATCCCGATAACATCAAGATAATTTTCGAGCTGTTAAAAAAAACTAACAGGTTTTACATAATTTGGGAACTAACTGACTAAATGAGTAACTAATCCCGATAACATCAAAAAAATTTTCGAGGGATGGAAGGGAATAGAGAATCTTTGATAGCCTTTGAATGTCGAAAATTTAGAAGTCTTATATTTTGACGAGTCTACTGTAGGACTCGACAATTGAAGAGTTGGATCAAAAACCGACTGTTGGCTCGGGCTGCACACGTACATAACAGATGCGTATTGTCCGTAGCCAAAGGCGCGAATTTCTACCCGTCTGATATGAGCGTGTGCGATCAGGGCGAACAGTCGGCTTTTGGATTCAGCTCCTCAAATATAAGACTGGAAAAAATTTCAGTAAACATCAGCATATTCAAAATTTTTCGCAACTAACAGGTTTTACATATTTTGGGAACTAACTGACTAAAAGAGTAACTAATCCCGATAACATCAAAAAAATTTTCGAGCTGTTAAAAAAAAGCAACTAACAGGTTTAACATAATTTGGGAACTAACTGACTAAATGAGTAACTAATCCCGATAACATCAAAAAATTTTCGAGCTGTTAAAAAAAAGCTAACAGGTTTTACATAATTTGGGAACTGACTAAATGAGTAACTAATCCCGATAACATCAAGATAATTTTCGAACTATTAAAAAAAACTAACAGGTTTTACATAATTTGGGAACTAACTGACTAAATGAGTAACTAATCCCGATAACATCAAGATAATTTTCGAACTGTTAAAAAAAACTAACAGGTTTTACATAATTTGGGAACTAACTGACTAAATGAGTAACTAATCCCGATAACATCAAGATAATTTTCGAGCTGTTAAAAAAAACTAACAGGTTTTACATAATTTGGGAACTCACTGACTAAATGAGTAACTAATCCCGATAACATCAAAAAAATTTTCGAGGGATGGAAGGGAATAGAGAATCTTTGATAGCCTTTGAATGTCGAAAATTTAGAAGTCTTATATTTTGACGAGTCTACTGTAGGACTCGACAATTGAAGAGTTGGATCGAAAAACCGACTGTTGGCTCGGGCTGCACACGTACATAACAGATGCGTATTGTCCGTAGCCAAAGGCGCGAATTTCTACCCGTCTGATATGAGCGTGTGCGGTCAGGGCGAACAGTCGGCTTTTGGATTCAGCTCCTCAAATATAAGACTGGAAAAAATTTCAGTAAACATCAGCATATTCAAAATTTTTCGCAACTAACAGGTTTTACATATTTTGGGAACTAACTGACTAAAAGAGTAACTAATCCCGATAACATCAAGAAAATTTTCGAGCTGTTAAAAAAAAAGCTAACAGGTTTTACATAAATTGGGAACTAACTGACTAAATGAGTAACTAATCCCGATAACATCAAAATTTTTCGAGCTGTTAAAAAAAAAGCTAACAGGTTTTACATAAATTGGGAACTAACTGACTAAATGAGTAACTAATCCCGATAACATCAAAAAATTTTCGAGCTGTTAAAAAAAAAGCTAACAGGTTTTACATAATTTGGGAACTAACTGACTAAATGAGTAACTAATCCCGATAACATCAAAATTTTTCGAGCTGTTAAAAAAAAAGCTAACAGGGTTTACATAAATTGGGAACTAACTGACTAAATGAGTAACTAATCCCGATAACATCAAAAAAAATTTCGAGGGATGGAAGGGAATAGAGAATCATTGATAGCCTTTGAATGTCGAAAATTTAGAAGTCTTATATTTTGACGAGTCTACTGTAGGACTCGACAATTGAAGAGTTGGATCGAAAAACCGACTGTTGGCTCGGGCTGCACACGTTCATAACAGATGCGTATTGTCCGTAGCCAAAGGCGCGAATTTCTACCCGTCTGATATGAGCGTGTTCGGTCAGGGCGAACAGTCGGTTTTTGGATTCAGCTCCTCAAGTATAAGACTAGAAAAAATTTCAGTAATCATCAGCATATTCAAAAATTTACGGAACTAACAGGTTTTACATAATTTGGGAATTAACTGACTAAATGAGTAACTAATCCCGATAACATCAAAATTTTTCGAGCTGTTAAAAAAAAAGCTAACAGGGTTTACATAAATTGGGAACTAACTGACTAAATGAGTAACTAATCCCGATAACATCAAAATTTTTCGAGCTGTTAAAAAAAAAGCTAACAGGGTTTACATAAATTGGGAACTAACTGACTAAATGAGTAACTAATCCCGATAACATAAAAAATTTTCGAGCTGTTAAAAAAAAGCTCACAGGTTTTACATAATTTGGGAACTAACTGACTAAATGAGTAACTAATCCCGATAACATCAAAAAAATTTTCGAGGGATGGAAGGGAATAGAGAATCATTGATAGCCTTTGAATGTCGAAAATTTAGAAGTCTTATATTTTGACGAGTCTACTGTAGGACTCGACAATTGAAGAGTTGGATCGAAAAACCGACTGTTGGCTCGGGCTGCACACGTTCATAACAGATGCGTATTGTCCGTAGCCAAAGGCGCGAATTTCTACCCGTCTGAT